GCGGTGGGAGGCATGTCCAGACCAGTGCTTTGGGGTCCTCACTCAGGCTGAAGAAGTTTTTCCTGTGTCACCAAGCAGGACAAGATGCTGTGGCCCCCCAACTCCTCAGATAACAGAGAGCTTGGGAATCATTTCCACGGCCTCTTCTAGGTTCGGCAACCACAGAGCTCTTACAAGAATATGTTCTTCTTTGGGGGACAGAGAATCAACCCACATTTCTCATGCTAGAGGGTTAAATCCCCACACACAGGACCCTTTGGGGAGCAGGATGGGGTCCCCACTTACAGATGCTGCTTCTCTCGGGAGAAAGGATAAGAGAGTCTCTTCATGGTCTGGGGTCTGTGGTCAGCCACTTTGGGCTGGATGGGGTCTGTGATTTTCTGGAGCACAGAGTTGATTTTTTTCAGGAGGCCACGGGTCTCATTAATGTGGTACATCTGCAGATAAGACAAGGGACGGGGAGATGTGTCACCCTGCTGGACCACGATCCGTGTCTGTCCTCAGGTGGTCAGAGAACGATCCCACCCCGTGCAATGGCACGTCCTGTGGGCAGAGTGCCTGGGTGGGCCAGAACGTCCCCCAGCCCCCTGTCCACGCTGTGAAAGCCCGGGGTTTCAGGAGTACCCAGCCAAAAGCACAATTACAATGCATTCCAGAGAACTTCCCCCTACACTTTACTTTTGCTTCACAAGAGGCAATCCAAGTGCTCTCTGAGGACGAGAGAAACCGAAGGCTGACTTACCGCCTAGCACGGCTTCACCCTTCCGCCCGCCAAAGTAAATACTGACTCCACGCTAAGCTTCTGGGAATACACTGTCAAACTGCCTTTTAGATATAAAGTTTTCACGGATTAAAAAGAAAAATCCCAGTAAGCCAGAAAATGTAATTAAAACGAGTCTGATAAACTGACACCACAATCACAAAAGCACCAGGACCCCACGAGTAATTGTGTTTGCAGTTAACGGTAAATTCCCAGGGGGTGGAGAGGTGGGCTCCTCCGCCTGCACCGTCTCTTGGTGGGGGTTGCTCTGCGGTCCCTAAAGACCCCCTGGGGCTGGGTCACATTCACCACGGTCAGAACCCCAGAGCTTGGGGGCCTTGTCACATCAAGCCTCTTTGTCCTCCCAGAGGTAGCCTTGAAGCCCGCTGGGCTTTTTAATAAAACTCAGGGCCTCCAGGTAGGTATGCTTCACGTGACCCAGGCAGGCCTTGACAATGCATTTCGGAGCAGAACCACCAACGCCTACCTTCTTCGTCGGCATCTTCAGTTTCAGAAACTCCGCCTCTCTGCACAGCACATTCCAGGGGGCGTGGATCTTCACAAACCCAACTCCATGGATTTTAGTCTAGGTAGAGAAGGAAAGTTCTGGGTCAGGGTGGGTGGGTCTGTGTGCAAAGCCCCCTTGATCTTCACATGTGACTGCAGTTCACTGAGCAGGTGCTGTGCACGGCTGCTTTCACTGCGGTCTCATTCCGTGCTGACGACACCTCGAGGCGTTGCTAGAATACCATTTTTGCAGAAGGTGGGAGGGAGTGCAGGGGGTTACAGGGGCTTCCCCAGGTCACGCGGGAACCTTTAAGAGTCAGGAGGGTCTAAAGGAGGGTCCCCAGGGGTACAGACTCCAAAGCCCCCGGGAAGTTCTCAGGAGGGTTTAGCCGAGGGCCCCAAAGCAGCCCAGACCACAAAAGAAAATCTTTCAGGATGCAGAGCCCAGGTCCCCTGGCCTCCACAGGGACCTGTGAGTCCCTGAGCAGTGCTGAAGAGGGTCCCCCTCTGGGTCTCTTCCCGCTGTGCGTCAGGGCCACACCTCTGCCTGCTCTGGGTCTGCTCCCCGGGGTCCCTTGTATCTGCACTGACTTTATCCTAAAGAGAATGGGCAGCCTGGTGCAGGGGCTCGAAGACTGGCCCGAGTTCAACTCCAGCTCCCTCCCGAAACGGCTGCAAGCTTGGCCAAGTCACCTCTCTCTGGTCCTGAATGACAACAGTGAGTAGCAGAGAGTCACCGATCGCTGGCTGCCGAGGATGCAGCATGAGCTAGGGGCTTCATGGGAGCCCACTCCATCAACCTTCACGGCAGCGTGATGAGAAAGGCCCCCATCACAGATGGGAACACTGAGGCTGGGGGAGATGAAGTCGCCACAGCCTACAGTCCTGCTGCCAGCAGAGTGGAGCTGTGTTCAAACACAGGCAGTGTTGCCCGGACTCCCCACTTTTTTTTTTTTGAGACGGAGTTTCGCTCTCGTTGCTCAGGCTGGAGCGCAGTGAAGCGATCTAAGCTCACCGCAACCTTTACCTCCCGGGCTCAAGTGATTCTCCTGCTTCAGCCTCCTGAGTAGCTGGCATTACAGGCATGTGCCACTATGCCTGGCTAATTTTTGTATTTTTGGTAGAGACAGGGGTTCTCCGTGTTGGTCAGGCTGGTCTTGAACTCCTGACCTCAGGTGATCCACCTGCCTCAGCCTCCCAAAGTGCTGGGATTACAGGCGTGAACCACTGTGCCCGGCCTCCCACTCTTAATTGGAGATCAGACGCCAGGTGCCCCCACCGTCTCCAGCTTTCCCTCTCCCCTCTGGATGCCATGTTTAAGAGAGTCCCTTTACCAAATGAGCAGCATTTATGCAGCCACAACGTATTTCCCATCAAAGACACATGTCACATCGATTGGCCTGTCACCCTAAGACTACCCCACTGCCCAGGGTGCTGATGTAACAAGAAGCAAAACAGCGCTGTGCCTCCCTGAGCCAGAGCTGCCTATGGGCAGTGGGGGCCTCCATCCCCCATGGCGTGGGGGTCAGGCTTCAGCTTCTGGACTGAGATCCCATCTGCCTCTCCTTTCCACAATTCTGAGACTTAAAGGAACGGACAGGAAGTCTTGGCAAAAAGGGATGACCCGGTGGGAGGAAGAGCAAGTGCCGGCCGGGACCCCACCCATCTGCTCTGGATGCAGAGTGACCAGCTGCAGGCTTGGGGCCTGACCTTGCTTTTGGGTCCCCTTGCAGACAACAGGCTGAGTGTGTGACACAAGTACATAGATTCACTGCAGCTTGTGGACAAAAAGCAAAACCTCATCCCCAAATGACAAGACAAAGTCACTTGGGGATGAGTTTTTTTTTTCTTTTTTTTCAATCATTTTTTGTTTTTTTGAGACAGAGTCTTGCTCTGTCATCCAAGCTGGAGTGCAGTGGTGTCATCTCAGCTCACTGCAACCTCCACCTTCTGGGTTCAATCGATTCTCCTGCCTCAGCCTCCCGGGTAGCTGGGATTACAGGCGCCCACCACCCTGGCTAATTTTTGTATTTTTAGTAGAGACGGGGTTTCACCATGTTGGCCAGGCTGGGCTCCAACTCCTGACCTCTGGCCATCTGCCTGCCTCAGCCTCCCAAAGTGCACTTGAGGATGAGTTTTAAGTAAACAAAATCTGAAATGGTTCAAGTAAATGCACCCAGCGAGATCCTTGGTGGAAGCCTGTGAACATGACGGTCCCAGGGACCCAGGCGAAGCTTCCAGGTCCAGCAGAGAGAGTTAAAGGAGGAGCCCCAGCACCTCAGGTGACCCGCCGAGGAAGGGAGGCGTTCCTTGACGCCCCAGCTTCATCCCATGCTTCTTCCTGATCCGACCGAAAAGCAAATGCCTCTGGGGTAAATCCTGTCTGGCCACTCCTCCCGAAGCCACCCGTGGTGCCTTATGCTTACTGCGAGGCCCACGGCTGCATCCACGAGGCCTGCCCTATACCATCCTCTGCCCAGCACCACCGCTCAGGCCTTGGCTGTGCTGCCCTGCTGTCCACAGCGGGCTCAGAGCAGCCACTCCGCATGTATTTATAGAAAGAATGAACGAAGGACAATCATACAGTAATAGTAACAGTCATGTGGATGGAGGCTGACAGTTACTGGCTGGTCCCTGCTGCATACATGCCGTGGGTATCAATTCATTTCATCCTCACCACAAGCCTGTGAGGCAGGTTCAGTCATCATTCTCATTTCGCAGTTGGGGAAACTGAGGCCCTGAGGTGTGTGCCATGCTCACCATTGTGGGAAACTCATGTGGCCACAAAGCGGGCGGGTTAAACTACAGAGGTTTATTCTCCTTCAGCGCTGGAGGCCTGAGGTCCATAAAGTGTCTCCAGGGCCGCGTTCCCTCCGAAGGCCCAAGGAGAGGATCCTTCCTGCCTCTTCCAACTTCTGGGGGCTCCCGGCGTTCCCTGGCTGTGGCCACGTCGCTCCAGCTACTGGCTCCTCTGTGGCATGGCCTCCTCTCCCCGCTGTGTCTGGAATCTTCCTCTGCCAGTCTCCGCTATCGGATTTACGGGCCACCCTAAATCCAGGACCATCTCATCCAGAAATGTTTAACTTCCTTCCCTCTGCAAAGACCCTTCTTCTAAACGAGGCCACGTTTGCATGCTCCCGGCGCCTGTGGATCGGGGCCACCACTTAGCCCCTGCTCCCGCCCTGAAGCTGCAGGTTGGCGTTCAGGTGGTTGGTTTTGTGCAGGGGCCTGTCCTGGTGGTTACGGGAGCAGAAGCACGGGCCCAGGGCTTGAGGCTGCTTGAGAGACAGCAGGACCAGGCCACCCCAGGCACGGTGATTGGACAATGTGGGGTGTGAAGACCCTTGTGGGGAGCCCAGGGTGGAAGGACGTAAGGTGTGGGCTTGGGATCCCTCTGAGAACTGACGATCTCAGCGTGAACTGGAGGAGGCAGTGCCAGGGGCTCCGTCAAGACGAGCCCAGACCCTTCTGCGGCCCGCGAGAGGCAGACTGAGTGGGCACTGTGGTTAGAGGCCTGGGACGGGGTGGCCTGGGTTGGAATTCTGCCCTGGCTCTGTGTGGTTTCCACAAAGTGACTTAACTTCTCTGAACCTCCGTGTCCTCAGCACAAACTGGGCATTGCAAGACCTGTTCCCAGCAGGGAAGCCTCTGGTGCTCTCAGCAGCCCTGGTCCAGCTGAGTCCCTGCCTGTGGAAGCATGGACTCCTTCGGCCAAGAAGCTTGAAGCCACCTCCTCAGCGCTGGAGGGCCACAGAAGGCACTGAGGCTGGAGGGGTGGTGGTCTCCCATCCTGGTGACCCACAAGAACAGTGCTGACACCATGGGGCACCTCTGAGTCACGGGAAAAGACAGCCCACGTGCGGGAGAGCCTGTCTTTTCCTGTTAAGACACAGATTTATTTCTGGGCTCTGCTCACTCGCACGCAAAGACCCAAAATATATTCCTCTGAGTCCATGAAGATTTCTGCACGGTGGTCAAGGAGCCAGTGCCTGCTGCCGGCCGCCCTGGGAAAACATGTACCCCTGTTGACGAGAGCAACGGGGTCCCTCCCAGGAAACATCTGGCAGGATTCGGGAAAGGGGTCATGGGACCAGTTCGGGGAAAAACACATGTGGGATGTTTTAAAGCATGGTGCCCGGCCTGACCACAGGCCTGTCCCCAGCAGAAGGACACTGGGAGAGACAGCTGTATCCCTTTTTCCCCCAGCCAGTGCCCTGAGGAACATGTTCTGCCCCAACTCTGGCCCCTCAAGCTGGGGTCTTTTTTTTTTGAGATGGAGTTTTGCTCTTGTTGCCCAGGCTGGAGTGAAATGGTGTGTTCTCAGCTTACCACAGCCTCCACCTCTTGGATTCAAGCAATTTTCCTGCCTCGGCCTCCTGAGTAGCTGGGATTACAGGCATCTGCTACCACGCCCCGCTAATTTTGTATGTTTAGTAGAGACGGGTTTCTCCATGTTGGTCAGGCTAGTTTCGAACCCCTAACCTCAGATGATCCACCCGCCTTGGCCTCCCAAAGTGCTGGGATTACAGGTGTGAACCACTGTGCCCGGGCAATCTGGGGTCTTTGAGGTTCATGAACCTGCTGGGCTGACAGCCACAGCTGTGGGGGTGGGGAGGCTCCACCTGGCCAGACCACAGGGCTCTGTGAGGAGACGGAGTCAGGTCCCCCAAATAGCCCCCAGTCAGAGGGGGCAGAAGATGCTCACCTCGGTGCAGAGACTAACCACGCGGGCTGAGATCTCCCTCCGAGTGCAGCCCAAAAGAACTCTGACCTCCCTGGAATTGCTTCCGGCATTTTTGTTTAAGAAGGAAGAAGAAAATCACAAACAGGAAGGACAAGTGAGTCCCCCGTGGGGGATACACAGGGGGCAGGTTTGCCGAGGGGTCCCCGCTACAGTCCCTGTGGCCCGAGGGCCTAGACCCTCTGTCTGCACGGTGGCCCCGTGGACTTCCATCATCCGATTGTGGCCAAGCACGCGACTCCCTGCAGCTGGAGCGTGGGCTCAAAATTGCTAGAAGATTTGAAAGTTTGCACCCCTAAAGATCAGACCTGGGTGGTTTTCGGGTTGCCCTTGGCTTC